TGCATATTTTACCATGTTAACTTTAAATCCCACGCAACGCGTGGGCAATCACTAGCTAGAGTTATTATAGGTTTGTTGATTCGAGGCTTATTGGTTCTAGAATGAACCGATACGAGTCTATCATTTTTCTTTTAAAGTCTTTTTGGTGATAGGATTTCATTAAAAATCTGTCAGTCTTATTTTATGATGAGATTTAGATTTTAAAATCAATTGATATACATAATTCGGATATATAAATGTATCACAGAATTCATATATATAATAACATTGTGTGAAAAAAAAATGAATATAAAGACGACGCGTAGTTGGAGTCAGAATTGCAATTGTTGTTTTCGTGTAATCCAAACGGCGCACTGTTTAAACTCACAGCGAAGAACCAAAAAAAAAAAAGTCAAGATTTTGCAACTTCGTCGTCTCCGATGCTCAGCTCCGTCATCGACGACAAGCCCGTAGCCTCCACTTGGCTTGACCGTCTCCGTCTAAGCAGAGGTCTCTCCACCACCGAAGATGACGATGCTTCAGGTAATCCTCTTAGCCTCGATGACTTCCTCCGCCGCAACCACCATACCGAAGTCACCGGAGATCCCGCCACTAGTTCCGCCGCCTCCGATTCTCCTCCGTCTGCTCCGAGTCCTTCGGATCCGGAGTTAGCTGAGAGCCCATTGGATCCAAATCCCGGCGAATGGTACGGCGTGATGAGCGATGTTCTCTCCGAACTATTCAATTTCGGCGGTTGCTCCTCTTCTCGATCTTCCACGATTCCCGGAAAGAAGTTCCCGAGAAAACAATCAAACCCTAGGCATTGTTCCGTCGAGTCTCCTCTCGACGTTCCGTTGCAAAATCAGAAACGCGATTCGAGTTTTCTCCCATGTGTTCGTGAATTCGCCACTTCGTCGCGCAATTCGTACAATAAGAAACCGGCGCCGGAGACGAGGGAGAGGAGAAGAAGCGTGGCGGAAGAAGACGGAGTTGATGAGGAAGAAGAGAAAGGTGAGAAGGATCTAGTTGGGTTTTCGAGGAGTGAAGTGACGGTGATCGACACGAGCTTCAAGATCTGGAAATCTGATAAACTGGTGTTCCGGAGGAAGAACGTTTGGAAAGTTACAGACAAGAAGGGTAAATCTCGAGTTGCCTCTTCGAAGAGCAAAAC